GATGCTATCCTTAGATTAGTGCAAGGTAACCTTAGTTACCAAAAACTTATGTTTACAGTATATCCAAAATACACTGTTAACATTAATGATAGAAATATTAATAAAACCTTAAGTTTAGCACATGAATTTGCTAAAGAAAACTTATGAAAGATGGATCAATGTCATATAGTACTTACTATATAATAAGTTATGCATTGACTAATAATCATCAATCTAATCTTTTTAAAGATAAAGAATATATTGAATTAGATCCTATATTCTCTGAAATAGAACAAATTCAAAAACTAGAAATGATCACTAAAATAGAATTACCCAAAGAATGGGAAATAGAAATTAGTGAAAACCACTCCTAATATGAGAAAAAGAAATGCCTAGACTAATGGCATATGAGTTAGAAAAACTATTAGTCAAAATCAAACCTAAACTAAGCCATAGAAATAGTATAGACTTAGGAGCTAAACGCTATCCTAAGAAAGATAAAGAGGTCTTAACTAGAACAACTAGAAAAAAACATGAGGTGGTATTAGACACCTTAAAAATCCCTTCTAGACATTTCAAAATAAAAGGAGATTATTATGATGGGAAAGAATGACATAATGTTTCTATCCTAATAGATACAGGAGTCGGAGTAACACATATCCATAGTAATATGATCCCACACCTACCAAGATTTAAACTCACTAAGCCATACACATACTATAACTTTAATGGTGCAATGACCACAGTACATGAATATGCTAAAGTACCTCTTAAAATAGAGAATAAGCATAATAATACAACATGAATCACTATAACAACTCATGCTAAAACAAAAATGACTGCAAGTATAGAATTAATGTTAGGAAATACAATCTAAACATCAGTACGCCCTATAATATCTAAGAACATTGTCTGAAGATTACCTTACGTGAAAAAAAAGTGGTTATACCTCAATATTATGAAGACTAGTATCTATAGTGTATACATAACCATTGGAATCAAATATGAAGAATACAAAACAAAATTCTTTCATGCTTTTATAGATAAAAAGTTTGGGATATGATTAGCCAAAACCAATATATTCCCAAAATATTATTGGAGGAACACCTCTCAAACTATAAAATGTGTAGCTATAGATGGAAGTATTATTCAATATAAAACAATAATAGAAAGAGTTATTGTTGTAATTGGTGGAATTGAAGTTATAATTCCCCAAGTCTGTAAAAGTAATGAGCATGGAATGATATTCTATTAGGAAACAATTTCCTAAGCAATTCAAGCAGTATGTCCAAAATGCATCATATGTAAAATTTTATACACCTTGTGAAACCTTGGCTTTATACCTCCAGAATTTATAATGCTTATATTAGAGCAATAGAACCATTAAATTTTCGCAGCCAACATGATGAAGATAATAGAAAAACTTGATCAAAAAAGATTAAAAAACCAGTGTTAGCATTGTGGAATAATGAAAAAGCATAAGAAAAAATAACCTTAAAGTCTATCTCAGAAGAATTAAGAAGTAATTATGGAAAAGATCCTACAAAACTATGGGGAGTTAATAAAACTTATGCCACAATCAAATTGATAAACCAAAAAACTATCATTAAAGTTAAACCAATGAGGTATAGCCCCAATGATGAAGAAGAATTTGATAAGCAAATTTAAGAGTTAATGGCCCAGAAAATTATACAAGCTTCTTAGAGTTCGTATAATAGTTATGCCTTTATGGTAAGAAATCATAATGAATTAAAAAGAGGAAAAGCTAGAATGGTTGTTAACTATAAACAACTTAATAGCAAAACTAAATTTAATGGTTACTTTTAACCACATAAAAAAACTCTAATCAATAGCATTAGGGGAAAGAAAATGTATTTAAAGTTTGATTACAAATCATGATTTTGGAAATTAAGCTAACTCTTGACAGTATCCCACTAACAGCCTTTAGTACCCCTACAAGACACTATAAGTGATTAGTAATGCCTTTTAGATTAAAAAATGTGCCTCAAATATTTCAAAGAAGGATGGATAATGTATTTTCTTCCATAAAAAAATTTGCATATTTATGCAAGAAACATGGAATATTATTTTCTAAAAGAAAGCAGAGATAGAAAAAGCCAAAATTTAATTCCTTGGATTAACAATAAATTCCACAAGAATAAAATTATAACCTCACATTAGTGAAAAGATTTTGATATTCCCAGATAAATTAGAATCTAAAGAACAAATTCAAAGGTTTTTAGGAATACTCAATTATGCAGAGCAGTTTATTCAGAACCTAACTCAATTAAGACATCCTTTGCAAAAGTTGCTTAGGAAAATCGAAAATCAACAATGGGAAATTTATCACACTAATCATGTGAAAAGAATAAAAGAATATTGAAAAAACCTTCCTAGGCTACAATTGCCTAAAGAAAACGAAAAGTTAATTTTAGAATGTGATGCCTCAGATTTTTATTGGGAAGCAACATTAAACAATTCTCAAGAAAAAGTTTGTAGAAATGCTAGTGGTACATTTAAAGATGTAGAAACTAGATATCATTCAAATCATACAGAGTTATTGGTTATTAAGAATGGAATAAAAAAATTCAGTTTCTTCTTATTACCAAAACATTTTAAGAGCAGAATTGACAATACTCAAGTTAAGGGATTTATTTTTAATAAATTACCTTTAACATGAGAATATGAAAGATTAAATAGATGATAAACTTTCTTTGCTAAATATGATTTTGAAATTGAACATGTCAAAGGAACTAATAATTGTCTTGCAGATTTCTTAAGCACATAAAGAGCTAATGGATGCAATCCTAACACTCCAAAATAAAGGGAAAGACCTTATTCTCAAAGGTCAAAAGATACCCATTGAGGGCAATAGCCAAATAAGAGAAGGCCAAGAAAAAATTATTAAAGGCCATGAGTTATTAAATAAGGGACAAGATGCCCTTGAAGAGGTCAAAGAGCTGATTGAAACATTAATGAGTTTCGGAGTACTTACTACTGTACGAATCAGCTCTAAAGAATCTAGCCATATGGTAAAGAAAAGCTCCCAACAAGAGCTAAAAGAAAATTTTAAACAAGGTGATCCTTCAGTAAGGTTACTGGGAGAAAGTTCAGGGAAGTTTGACTATTATGTCAAATACTCTTCCCCAGAAATATCAATGTCTCAAGTTGAAAAGCTAGCTATTCAAAATGCCGAAAGCCATAACCTTTGACCTCATTACTTAGGAAAGAAAGAAAAGAAAGTTACAATAATAGACACCTTGTCAAAAATGACAATGAGTGAAGAATATCTGCGAGAATACCACTTAGTTTGCAAAATGGCATATTTAATGAGATCCACTGAGAATTGCCATCCTATCCATGAAGGGATTTATCCCAAAGTTAATTTCATATAAGGTGCAAACCCAAAAGCAATAAAAGAGTTATTCGATTATGGTTTTATAAAGGTTAAATACCCTTTTTGGTCCCTCTACTATAGGAAAAAGCCCCTTTTTGGTCCTTGTACCGAAAAAATCCCTTTTTTGATCCCTAAATTTTAAAATCCGACCCCTTTTAGTCCCTCCGTTAAAATTTTGCTGACTTGTCACGTTAATTAACGGCATTATTTCATTATTTTTTATATAAACAATATTATAAATGACATGGAAATTACATGTACAATTATAAATGACATGGACAAAATTATAAATACACGTAAACACTTTATCTGAATATTATGTGTCACTTATACTAATTAAAAATTTTACTTTATTAATTTATGAATTAAACATAATTAATTTTAATTTTTTCATCTTCTTCTTCCTCTTCTTCTTTCTCCTCATCCTTACCCTCCTCTTCTTCTTCACCCTCCTCTTCTTCTTCAGAATCATCTTCATCATCTTGGGTTCCTCGTGGAACCCAGTGCGGGGTTTCATGAGGAACCCAGAGCCAGTGCGGGGTTCACAAGGAACCCAGATCTGAGTTCCTCATGAAACCCAACACTGGGTTAACGAGGAACCCAGAACTGGGTTTCTCATAAACCCAGCATTGGGTCTACGCGGAACCCAACTAGCTTGGATCAAAACGAGGAGGACGGGGAGGACCACGACAATCTCCGGTTGGGGCAGCCGGAGCTATACAAGCAAGCTGATAAGGATGATCCCAAAGCTCTCCTTGATGGCGTCGATGTTGCTGGACTCGTTGGAATCTTGCGCCAATTAGGCAATCTAGCTGAGTATGTTTCTCACGTTCTTATTTGATTTTGCCCTTCAATTTTGGGGATTGATGGTGTTTCTAGTGTTGCATGAAAAAACTTGGAAATTGATTTTTGTTTTAATGTTGAGTTTCATAGTATGTATAGATTGAACTCTGAAGAATGTGAAGATTGATTGAACTGTAGGGGAAGAATTTAGGCAAGCTAAAGCTGTATTGTTTGTTAGTTTTTTTAAAAATTTAAGGGAATTGAATGTCTGAGAATGTAATTTCTTCCACCTCCCCAACGATCCAAGCAAGCTGGGTTCCTCGCGAACCCAGGCTCTTGGCTTCGCCTAGAGGTAAAAGAAAAAAAAGAAAGGCTGGAGGAAAAAGAAGTCGAGGAAGAAGACGAGGGTATATCAATAATTAAAAGTAAAAAATTTAACATGTCATTAATTTTTGCCACATGGATTTTCCACGTAATTTCGTAAAAAAAATAAATAACTGTTTCCGTTAATTAACCTGCCACATTAGCTAAAATTTAACGGAAGGACTAAAAAGGGGTCGAATTTGTGAACAGTAAGGATAAAAAAAGGGATTTTTTCGGTACAGGGA